TCTATCTATCTAATTTAATCTTATCTTATCTTATCCTATCCTATCTATCTATCTATCTAATTTAATCTTATCTTATCTTATCCTATCCTCTCTAATCTAATCTATTCTTATCTTGTCTTATCTTATCTTATCCTATCCTATCTATCTATCTATATATCTATCTATCTATCTATCTAATTTAATCTTATCCTATCCTATCTATCTATCTATCTAATTTAATCTTATCCTATCCTATCTATCTATCTATCTATCTTTCTATCTATCTATCTATCGATCTATCTATCTATCTATCTATCGATCTATCTATCTATCTATCTATCGATCTATCTATCTATCTTTCTATCTATCTATCTTTCTATCTATCTATCTATCTTTCTATCTATCTATCTATCTATCTATCTTTCTATCTATCTATCTATCGATCTATCTATCTATCTATCTATCGATCTATCTATCTATCTATCTATCGATCTATCTATCTATCTATCTATCGATCTATCTATCTATCTATCGATCTATCGATCTATCTATCTATCTATCTATCGATCTATCTATCGATCTATCTATCGATCTATCTATCGATCTATCTATCTATCGATCTATCTATCTATCTATCGATCTATCTATCTATCTATCGATCTATCTATCTATCGATCTATCTATCTATCTATCGATCTATCTATCTATCTGTCTATCTATCTATCGATCTATCTATCTATCTATCTATCTATCTTTCTATCTATCTATCTATCTTTCTATCTTTCTATCTATCTTTCTATCTATCTATCTATCTATCTTTCTATCTATCTATCTATCTATCTATCTATCTATCTTTCTATCTATCTATCTATCTATCTATCTATATGTCTGCTACACTCTTTCAACCCGTCTGAGGTTGGTCCTTGGGTCTCCCAACTGTGATCTCTGCAACATCACCTGCTCATCCTGGGCATGCCAGCTGCTTGTTCCATACTTGGAAGGATGCGAAACTAAAATTTGGACAGTATATACAGTAATTATGTCGCGTGTTCAAAACAAACAACAACCCTATATGTGCAGAAGTGTATAGGTTTATGTAATGTCGTGAAAAGAGTTTGCTGATACAATCTGATTCCCGGGTCGACACTATGACTATTAAATTAATGTCAAACCTCTTGCAAACAAGGACACGAAAATGCCATTGTTGATCGGGCGTTATTTGTCTCCTGATTTTTTGAGCAAGCTATGTGTGGGCCGCAGAAACAATGTCATATCAGGACTAGCTTGTGAGGCAACAAGTCAACTGAACGACATGAACCTTCAGCCCTGGACCTGCGTATTCTACATGATTGCAAAACCACTGCTTTCTTGCATAGTACTAAAACAATGAATACAGAGTATCGCGTCTTTTCAGTGACCTAAACAACGCGAATGCAGCATGGCGCACCTTCACTCATCTCAAAATACACAATATATATATAATATATGTATATATTTAATATATATATATATATATATTATTTACATTACGGGTTACAGTATATCGATCACATCTGTGGCTCGCAAAGGCTGCCTAGCTGTCTGCCAAGAGTCCGCTTCCGACATGACTTCTCCAGGCATCGGCATTGTCTGGCATGAGGAACCACTGGTATGCTCTCAACATGGGCAATTTTTCATGTTTCTAACTTTTCATATGCTTTCAATCAAAGATTGTCTCGGGTGGTGACTTTAAGAACTGATATCCCAGGCAATCTGTCAGTTTGTCACACTTCCTTAAATGTCCCGAGCCTACAGCACCAACAAGAGGGCCAACAACATCGACGACAACTACACATACTGTATATCAGAATATCGTGTTTCCTGGCACTGAAGAAATGCACCATTGTCTGGGTGCTGCACCCAAGACTGTATGTCTTTAGGTCCAAAGACTGATTGATGAGTTGGTGTAGCATAGGAACAACTGAGAGGAAGCAAGGACCATTTCGCATTACACTCTGTTGGATTGGGCAACAGCAGTCTCCAGTTCAGATCCATTCCACACTTCAACAAGAAACACTGCGATTTGCGGGCTGCGCGTCAATGACGCGGTGGACTGTAATTCTTGAATTTGATTCCAAGGCAGAAACAATGATAAACCCCAAAAGTTTGAAACTCAAAGCCAAAAAATCCAAAATCACTGTTACAGCATCTTACAGCGCATCCCAGTCAATTCAGCTGGTGAGACATGAGCGCCATCATGAACCGGAGACTGGGCAGAGACATGGCCATGTTGGGTGGCTTGCATCAAGACTTCAGGCTCATCTCACGTGGTGAACATCACAATCATCAACACTTGTGCACTTGTGGATTGGGATATGTCCCAAACTTAGCAGTTCAAAACTATGTTAGCATAGATCATCACAGCAGGGATGTGGTAGTTTGGTGGATAAAAACGGATTTGTTCCCCAAAATAAACCTATGATGTGCGTACGATAATCACCGAGAGTCTAGAGTTACCCAGGAAAGCATGCAACGTTGACATGAAATTAAGATGGTATTCCCGGATCCCCTTATTTTGGGAGAACACCCATCCCATCCCCTAATTATTACGGTGTGAGTCAGAACTGGGTACCCTGAAAAATATCAAGAAAACGTGATGGTTGCTAAGTATGTGTTGTTAATATTTTCTAGAATATATAAAGTAATAGCCAACATTTGCGGTTTCAGTTACTCAAAAAACATACAATGGCCACAATCTGTGGTTTCAATTGGTTTCATCGGTGACCGAAGTTGACCCATAGCCATACCATCGGTTGCCGAGGTCGCCTCCGCCCCTGATCTGTTCAGCTCTTCAGGATCTTCCAACTCTCCTGGAGCCTGCCGGCCATGACCCCAGGGGATCCTGACTGGTCAATGATGGTGGCTTTGTTCAAATGTGTTATATCTTAAGAATTCTTGAGATATCTTAAGCATCTTTAAGAAGTGAGGGATGAAACAAATATATTGTTTAAGTTGCATACAGGGTTGTATGTTTTAATATGTTTTACTGTACTGGTATGTATTGTCTCGACTGTATATCAAACCTGCTGCTGAGGAAATGCGTAGAGCACCCAGCGCACTCCTGAACAACTTCACTCATGTACTTTCTCGGCAAACCTTTGTTCATTGATGTTATATTGTGTATATGTATTATATTTCATTATGTATTTATTATGCATTTATTATTATGTTATATTAGTATATATTAGTTATATTGCACATTATTGCACAATGTGATCCTAGCCTGATATGACTTGGGTTTCAGGGAACAGCGGAAGGTCAGCCCTAGGTGCTGCTGAGCCACGGTTTGGAATCGAACCGAAGCGCCGCGGGCCTTGCTGTTCACTAGGGGTCCACCAGCATGTCACAACAGAAAGATCCGTTTCGATAGGAGATGGATGGAGATAGATTTCAAAGAGCCTACCAACAAGTAATGACAAGTAATTATCCATATTAGAAACAAGTGTGTAATGACAAGTGTGTAATAACAAGTGTGTAATTACATGTTAATTATACATCTACCAACAAGTAATGACACGTGTATAATAAGAAGTAATTATCCATATTAGAAACTGCTTGGCAAAAGAGTCCCAAGTTAAAGAGCTGCGGAATGAGGTATATTGCCCATGTAGCGATTCAAAACTGATTTCGCCGGGAGCCAGTGGATTTCAGCAGATTCTATCTACACTTAGAACCAACCAACATCCATCAACATTTGCAACAAATGCCCTGTGTGCTTCTCAGTGATCTTCCCTCAGGTTGCGACTTTGCTCGCCACTGGCCTTGACGTTAGCCAAACTGTCACTGCCAGTTGTAGGAAACGATGGGGAGACATCTCATAGAATAGCCCCAACCGATCTGTGGGATGCCAAAGTCTGAGTTTGCATGAGTCGCGAGTGTAATTAAACATCTAAAATCATGTTCGGACAGAACTTGGAAAGAAACCACCGTAATTCATCGCCACAAATGCCTGTCTGGGTTCCCGGACTCCGACTGTGAGTTTAAGGAGAGAATCTTGCCAAGCTCCTGTGATCGAAGGGTCAGTGCAGTGGGCATTCCGTGTTTCCAAGACATCCATACCGGTCCATACCCTCCACAATTCTGCACCAGCTATAATGAGTTTGTCGATGGAAGCTAAACCCATGTAGGCTATGTGGGAACAAGGGAGACATGCAAGACTGTGATTCTGGAAGTTCAAGGCTAACTCAATTCAGAGATATTCAGAGTATGTCTGAAATGAATATGTAAATCTGGGTTTTCCATGGTTTTCTCATGTTCACAAACTGAGCGATTTTGGAGGTCAAAATGATCAAAGCGGTCGGAAGCTCCTGAAGGCCGGGCAGCGCCCAAAGGCGCCGGCGACCTTGATGTAGGAATGACCTAGGTGTCAACAATTGTCAACATGTGTCAACCACAAAACTGTTGGGGGCCTCGCGTCGCAACTTTGATATGTGTCTCTTAGTAACTTAGGCCCTGACGCGTGTTTGAACTACACCCCTATGCCAAGGGTGTATGAGACAAAGCAAACAGCAGACCCTGCTTGGCAGGCCCTGCTGCAGCTCTTGGCTGCACAGTTGGTTGGTAGTTTCAACCTCCTTGAGCCTTGAAGGTTTCGGAGGATTTGGAAGGAGAGCATAGTCATTTTGTTCCAAAACCACCTCTACACAGCATTGGAAGCACATCACACTGCCCAAACTTTCACGAGGGACCACGCAAGCATGACAATGGCTCTAAGGCTCAAAATCAGTGTGACGGAATCAACATGTGAACCATCGGTTGCAAGTTGTTTTACTCGTATACTGGTTACCAAGTCGAAGTTATCCAAAGTGATGCCGTATGATACATACATAACTATAATATATATATATATAATACACATCATATATAATTCATCATATACACATATTTGTACATATTGTATAATTATTTGTAATATATGTGTAAAACTGCCAGCATGACTGAAAGTTTGAGTTGGCCCCCTGTGCCAGGCCTCGTTTTTGAGCTCATCGAACACGGCCTTCAAACGAAAGGGAAACCAAACTGTCAATACAGGGAGTCAATGCCTGCAGCTGAAATCTGGATACTGGACAGTCTTTTGGAAACGTGCCAAATCTATTTTGAAAAAAGAAAACAGAATGCTGTTGCGTTGTCATTGTTGGTTAACCAATGTTTACATGAATTGCAAACAAAAACGATCCATGCATTTTGAACATGCCTTCTTGAGTCTGTGAAACCCCGTAGTTGTTGAACCGTAGTTAGTGAACCGGACTGCGTCCAGTGTGAGGCTGTGCCTGTCCCTCCTGCAAGGATCTTCTCCACCCTGAGCAAGGCGTTGCAAGACCATATGCATAACAGCACATGCAAAACTGTGGGCTTATTACTATTACTGATTATTATTTCTATTGCTATCTATTGCTATTTCTATTACATACTATTAACTATTGCATGCTAATTATTACATATTATTAAAATTGCACTTCTATCAAGATGAACACCTGTAAATCATCTATCAACTTGCAATCCGTTCTGTGCTTCCCGGACGCGGTCATCATATCGTCATCATCACTCTCCTGTAATGTGCGGATTGACGAGTGGAAACACTCGTGAATTTGAATACTCCGAATGATCCCCGAACTGTGAGAGGGCCTGACCATCCTGTAGATGCACATAGGCACCCAAAGATGGTGAGAAAGGGAAACATATACAACATTATCATATTTTGAGCAAATTTGAGTGTCTTTACTCATAAGTTATGAGTAAACACACTCAAAATTACTCAACATATTAAACACAATGTACTATAACAGTAAAATCAATTTCTGTTGCTTAACCAAGTTTTCTACAGAAGGACAGCACCATCAAAAACATTTTGCAATGCGCCAATTAGAATCAAATGGAACATGTGTGGCCTGTCTTTAGCGGGTCATTTTCTCATTACAGTCCATATATATATATATAATTATATATATATATTATGTAATTGTTTGCTGCGCTCATGTGTCTATGTCTAGTGAGATGTGTGAAAAATTGTGAACGAGAATCAACACGAGGAAAAACCAACTACCCTGTAAGTGACAAAGAAAGTCAACATGCTCTGTTTCTACCCACAAGTCCAAGCGAAAATGTCAGACCGTCGGACATGTATTAATATGTTTGTGGAATAAGAAACATTAAGAGTCACTAACACAAACAGCCTGATGGCATTCTATAACGACGCCCACTGGCATCTGTTAATGGCCTCTTCGGTGCCGCTTTCACTGAAGTCCTACAGGCCATGGCATCTCAAGGAGGCCAACATGAATCTCGATGCCACTTGTTGATTGATATATATATATATATATACATATTATATTATATTATATTATCATATTATATTATGTTATCAAATCATATTATATTACATTCTGTTATATTCTATAAAATTATATAATATAATATTATACATATATATATACATATATAATTATATGACTTGTTAAATATATATATATATATATACATATTATTATAAAAAATATAAAATATAATATAATATAATATAAATATATATATATATATATATGATTATATAATATCATATTATACCATATTATATTATATATACAAAATATGAATATAATCATATGAGTCATATGTTATCACATGTTTTCATTCACTAGATTTCACCACATGTCTCACAGTTGCGTCGTGGTGTCATGGTTGATTTGGAATCATGCATAAGCATGCATAAGTCCTCTTCATCGGAGGACTCCATGATGGTGTGCATTTCTTTAAACCTGGCCAGTGTGGTGGAAAACAACGGGAAATCACCTCTAGCCATGGACAAGAAAATGCAAGCATAAATGATCATAAATGTGGATTCATGGCTTAAACCTGGTTCTTGATAATTCCGATAGCTGACCGTTTCATTCCAGCAATCAAGTGCAATGGTCCTGACCTCCACTTGTTTTCCACAAACAGGACAACTCCCAATAGATCTCAAGGTCAGTTGTCAGATGTGATCAAAACCCTTAGCAGCCCAACATGACAATATAAGGGGCTGAAGCTGCCTCTGCTGTCTCTCCTTGTCTTGCTGTTTCCGCTCTTTTTCCTCGGCCTACAAGTACAAAATCAATTCAACATCAGATCTGAAGCATAACAACCAGCGAATTCTTCAACTTTTTGAAAACAGCTGGCATTTATGCATGCATTTTCTCTGCAAAGTTTTGGCTCCATGTGTCGTTGTCTTTACAAATGGCTCAGCCTGTATGGAAACAAACAGCAGCAACTATTTCATTGAGAAGACAGTGAAGAGACAGTTCAGCGTCCCTTTGCTACAGTGACAAAGGGAATAACGACTGAATCTGGACATTTGTTTATGATGGGAAATCAAGTTCAGATGGCCGAAACATCACCGCACATGGGTCAAACACAGAATACACTGAGGACACACTAGCAAAAGGAACCATACAGAGATACTGTCACTTTTTGCAATCTCTCAGAAATATGAACAATGGTGCACCTGCTGTCGCCGGATCTCGATACCACTCCTCCCCTGTTACGTGGATCTCATGCAGAAATGCACATTTTGCATCGAATGGAAAAAACAGTTGCTGAGGCTTTGGTTTTCCTGCTAGCCTACAAATTTGGCATTTTGGGGTCCCTTAGAATTCAGGAGGCTGGTTTGACCATCAAATTGCATCGGTTGCATGCACCAATGACGATCTAACTGCATAGCTCAGAAGCCTGAAATATGGAGGGGTATTGTGTTTGAAGGTCAACAAATGATGCGGATTGCCAACATGAGGCCAATTTGAAAGGTTCTAGATATGCTGTGGTCTATTTGTGGCACAAATCTCACCGCGCAAGGGAAGTGATTGACAGTTCTGTTGAGAGGCTTACTCTGAGAATGTGTGTTGATCAATCAATCTCAACAAGCAAACAACTTTGCAAAGCTGCCGAGCCTTTGGTTTGGAGCTAACCTGACTGGACCTGAAGCGGTGAAACCAGTCTGGCAAAATGTGTGAACCTTTTTTGTAATTAACAGTGATAAACAGCTCACAATGTGAATTCAGAATCATCGAGAAGATAAAACAAAAGTAAATAATGCTGAATCAAAAGATTTAAAGCTTTTAGACCATTGAGTATGAATGTGTGTTCGATGGCAATGCGTTCTGATGGACATGTCTAACATGTCCGCTCTGTCATTCTGAGGTGCAAACTGTTTTGACGCTTTACCTTGGTGCATTGGAAGCTCTGCTCGACTGGCAGCTTGGAATTTGATGTGATATTTCACTTTGTGTTCAACACCAAATCTGAGTTTTATAGATAACCGGACTTCGCCAACACAAAGAGTGAACCCATAGCAAGGAATCGCCCTGCAAGTAGGAGTCTTGAGTCTTGAATCCTTTATATATACATCATCCAACCAATAAAATGTCACGCTACTTCGATGCAATAAATAGGAGAATGGATGAGCGGCGCCCAAACACTACTCTCTAGCTATACGGTCATACGGTAATACTACCCTCTGTCTGCTGGCCACACCCCTGGTGTAGAGTCAAGTAACTCACCCTGGCGAGACACAATGCGGACAGTGCATCTAGTATCATCTTTAATGGGGTTGTCAGTGTTGACATGCGACACGAGGGAAGGTTTTTTCACTATGAGAGCTGTCCCTGAGCTGCAGGGGACAACATCATGAATCGGGCAAGATTAGTAGCTAACTATCAACGATTGATGAAGAGTGAACTCGATTGTGATGAGGGTATTGTGCAGGTAGCTCTGATAGAAGCCGACCATTTGGTTTGCTATCTTAAAAAAAAGGTTCCTGCCGCGGTACTTCCTTGGTGAACACTCTGTATTTGGTTCCTAAGGTTTGCAGTCAAACATATATTTAGACCTGTGAAAACTACAGTACCTAGAAAAACCTCTGATTGCAGTAAACGACAAGGTTTGAAGGTTCAAACAGAATCTCGCACTTCTCTGGCTCTCGGTTCACTTCACCTCATCCATTATCTTTCACGTGGTATGCACCTCCTTTGTTCCCATTTCATCTCGCCTGCTACTTTCACTTGCATCACTCTGCTTGCTGGTGGTGCTGCGGTTGTCATCGGACTCGTCACCTCAGCAAAATATCCCTTTTCTGTGCACATGACAAAATACGGGGTTCACCTGCTATGGTCACGTCGCCAATGTATACACTTGTGTACGGGACATACATTGAGCAACCGTAAAAACCCCGGCAATACTAAATATGTATTCGACGGACATTGGTTTATGGAAATTGATGGAAATTGTTAAAAACACGAGGTAAGCGATGGGACCTTCCCAAATTAGCGATACCCCTTTTCAAGGTTATGTCATCATATTTCTCTAATATCCACATTAGCGATACCCAAATATCACATATTATTCATAGTTCATCACATATATATATATAAATGCAGCAGTTTCCTGCAAGCGATACCCCCCAAGTTTACCATATATCATTATTGTACAAACGTGTGGTAAGCGATGGGACCTTCCCAAATTTGTGGATGTCCTTTCCGTGAACCTAGGGTTTTCACAATCGCTCAACAATCCGCCGGCCTGCCAGAGTGTCTGATTGGAAGGTGTTGTTCCTGTTTCTGTTCTTGGCTCGTACTTGTTCCTTTGTTCTCTTCCTGCGCATTTTTGCTTCGTCTGAATCATATGTCCAGCCCCCCTTCTTCTTACTACTACTACTACCACCACAACAACAACACCACTACCACTACCACTACCACTTCCACTACCACTACCACTACCGCTACCACTACCACTACCACTACCACCACCACCACCACCACCACCACTACCACTACCACTACCACTACCACTACCACTACCACTACCACCACTACTACTACTACTACTACTACTACTACTAGTTAGTACTAGCACAAGAAGAAGTACAGCAATTGCTAGTACTACTCCTACCCCTACTCCTCCCACTCCTTGATTCTTTCCCAAGTACTTAACCGGTAGTGCCGGTAGCCAGTGAAATGGTCTACGCAGCATTGCAGTTGTCTAGATGTGCTAGTCACAGGACGTACGCGGTACTAACCTGATCGGCCGGTACTCATCTGCTATGCGGCCAATGAGGTTGCTAAAGTCAGCACTCGCTACGCAAGCTGCTTCTGGTCTACCGCTTTGTCTTCGTCTCCGGCTTCCACCTAGCGTGAACCTCCCTTGGGCAACCTCTCTCCGCTTCCACCTTGTCCAATTCCATGCAGCGATCTGCTGTCAAGCCGAAGTGCATACATAGTATAAGTATCTGGCGGTACTTTACTGGGGGCGGCACTAATTTGGTATCGGTCAACAGGTTGCTACGGCAAGCACATCCTACACAAGCTGCTTCCATTTTACGGCTCTGTTCTTCTTCTTCTCTTCTCTTCTGCTTCTCTCTCCGGCTTCCCCCTAGGGTGCACAGCACACTCCCTTGGGGCCACCTCCCTATGGCCAGCGGGCTTGCCGTAGGCAATTAAAATATCACAATTACTCCCAGTTTCTTTCATTCTTGACTTCATTCTGACACCAGTATCAGCATTACCAGGCTTTGCCCCAACGGGTCGCCATTGGGTCGCCCTGCCAAGTTCAGACTCCGATGCTTGGCCTTGGGCGCCAAGGGAATCTGAGGACGGTGCAACAAGTAGCAGGTAGAGCTAAAGACTCAAAAAATCCAAGCACCCCACTGCTCGTTTCACCACCTCAGTACCAAAGGTGGCCAAGCTTGGTGGGCACACGATCTATAGTTAAGGGTTGGCTGCTTGCATACTGCACCTTTTGAATGAATTCTCACAAAGATGGACACACTGCAAGCCAATGAACAGGGAGTCAAGGGGTTTCAGCCAATACTAGGTAAATACGTCCACAGAAATTCAGCAGGAAAATCATTCTCAACTCAAGAGTTCAACCCATTTCCCGGCATCCCGGCGGGACACCATTGAATTGCTTTGCTGGCTGTTCTTCCGCTTCTTCGGCTTCGGTTTGCCTGAAGTTCAAAATTCAAAAGCTGTCGACATGTCGACATTGACTTTCTCCTTAGGCTCTGAGAGTCTTTGCCAATCATAAAAAGCTGGACGAGCTGCATAGTGTATGTGCTATGTATGTGCTGTCTATCGATATCCCTGAAGATTTTGGGATGGTCAAATGGATGCGAATTCCACAAGTGAAAGGGTCAAATCTTGGAAGCATTGATTCATGTACAGTATACCTTGAGTAAACCATAGTATACCAATATACCAAAATATATACGTTGTCAAAGGATGTCAAAGGTGATCAAGACAGGCCATCTGAATCTACTCGCTTGGGACCACCAATGAAATTCTTTTGTCACTTGTCAATCCATAAAACAAATCATCCATTGTTTCCAAGGACCAAAATCAAAATTAAATACTCTCTTGACTTTTAACTTTTAACTTTTAACGATGTCCTGGAGCAAAAACACGGGAAAAATATGCACTTTGCCATGACCCCGAAAATGGTGGTTTACCTTAATGATAGTTGCAAGCATCTTCGTCAAAAACTCAGGAACGTCTACTGTATAACAATCCATCATGCTGATTTACAGCCACTTAGCTAAGTCGGCCCTACACTGAGGGCTCTACCAGGCTTCTTTCCACCTTGGTTTCAGGCTAGGATGCCCTTTGTGCTCAAGTTGCTTTCCGCAATGTCACAGGAATCACGGGACAGGAAACAGGGTGATGTCTGCCAATTATGTTTGACAATGGTGTGTTTCATGTTACAAATGGAGCAACCATTGCCACCTATGATCATCCATTCTCGACCATTGATGGTTAATGGTTAATTATTAATTGTGGTTACACAGGTGGGGCCAATACTGACCAAGGCCCTGGCCCTTGGCATGCTTAGGCTGCTTGCCTCAAACCCAACATTGTTTGTCCAAGATGCACTGAGAGATGGATCGCAGGTCTGTCGACGTGCTGCTGAGACATGTGCTTTGTAAGTGTTCAAAGGGCATTAAATAGATTGAGTCAAAGATATATGATGATATATGTTGTTATTAAAACATATTCTGAAAACAATGTATAAGAGCCTGCAATATCATGTATACATTTAATGCGTGGGTTCGCGGGTCTTTATGTTCAGAGTACGGATACATACGGATACAATCGTTCGATGCAACTTGTTCCAAACGTGTCTTTACAAATCCTGCAATCAGTCAACGATAATCGGATCGGCTTCTTTTCTCTTCCGCATCAATTTGGAACTATGGTGCTAGGGTGACTTGGCCGCTGCGCTGGAAAATGCATACGTGCCATGTTGGTTTCAGATTTGTCAACTCCAATTCAGGTCCTTTGAGGTCCAAAGCATTGTCTCAGAGCCTCAGGAAGCAGCCAAGCAATAGCAATGCTTCAACTGCACAGTGAAATGGGTCCCATATGGTCCCATGGTAAACGTATCGAGTTCTTTTTCTCACAGAGACCTTGTATAGAGACATCCTTAGTAGTGTACATCAGTGGGACTGAATGGGGCAGATTGGGGCACACCAACCTGCGCCACCAAGCCGCTGGCTTCTAATCAAAGATCCTTGGCAGGTCGCCAGGTGGCGATTGGTACTATGTCGTATGTTTTCAAATCATAGCAACTATACAATGAAATCTCTGACTGCAGAATGGTTTCCTCTCTGACTTGTTGGGTTTTGTGAAATGGTAAAGTGTTTGTGCATTGAAGGAAGTCAAGCTTACGATACAAATGTCCAAGAGAGACACACTCACACACACACACAGCTGATAAAGTACTATTATAATATGTATTAATTAAATATACGAACACAATCGAACACATCTGTATATATGCTAATTACATCTAATTACACTGTTCGTATGGTTCGTATGATTCGTACGATTCGTACAGAGGCCCTTCTGATCAAAACATCACAACCACCCCAAAGGCGAAAGCTCAGTCTGTTCAGTCGTGCTATGATTTGCCATTTGGAACCAAGCTTCGATAGCTGCCATGTGCTGGCTCATGCGGGGGAATGGGATCCTGGCACTGGAGTTTTGTTGAAGTCAATACTTTTGGGAATCCATGGGCCCTTGAGGCCCCTTGTATCCCCTCGTCCTCATCGCCAATACCAGATCGGTCAATATATCGACCACAGCGAACCTTGCGAAGAAAGATAAGAAAGCCGATACTGCTCTACAATTGTAGTATTTAAATGTGTTTAAACGATCCGCTACATGGAAGACCCTTCGAGTCTCCATCCCCCATGACTGGAACACGCCCCACGTTTTCTATGTCCTGTTCAGGGCAATTACATAAAAATGACGCTGCGTCTGGGAACAGTTGCGGCCATCGACCAGAACAAGGCATGCAACATGTTCAACACTTATAATGTCATTTAACAAAGCAACTTACTTGTAGCATCCACAAGGATAGCTGGAAATCAGCTTGCAATCAAGATGCGTAGCGCATAAGCGACCTGGGCTGAATTCGACTTCTAAACCTAATGCACATGTGTTGATTGGGTCAAAGATATTCAAGCCTGACTGCAGTCTTCATGCATCAACAAAAGGTGTTCGTCCCACCGTTCAAAAGGCTTCCTTAAAGCCAGGTAAGTTGCAGTCTCAAGGCATCTTCAGCAGAAGATCTAGTCCTGATGAAAGCAGGCAAGTGTTGCGCAGCAGAACTCCAATCCACAGATCCAAGCATTTTCTAGACTCCCTAGACTCTTTGACTAGCAAGACTAGCGGCAAGTATGTCTGCTTACATTGAAATCCTCTTGCCATTCATGGCTTAAGTGAACCAGTTCGATCTCGGCAAAACCGCTGAAGCAAGTAGAACTGAAGGTTGACTGCCTAGGCCCCGACTGTGGCTCGTCATCCTCAATGCGACAACGCTTGGCAAAGTCCTGGCTGTATGGAGACATTGCAGGTTGTAATCCTGGCCGAAAATGAAGGAATTTGATCAAACCTTCTCAGTCAGCAATAAATAAAGTTACATATGTAGGAACAGATAGAACGATTAGAGTAGACTAGAGTAGACTAGGCTACACTAGATTAGCTTTGGATTGAATTGGATTCGATTAGTGATAGATCAATAGATAGACAGATAATAATAGGAAGATAGATAGATCGGATAGATAGTATGTGTCATACGGAAAAGCAAACAAAATATCAGTCTGAAAAGTGACATAAAGATACATAAAGTGACTATGATGCCACTTCAATTATTCACAACACCCAAATCCAATCAGCACAGGATTTCACTGAGGCTCCTGGGGATCCAACTCACAGTTGTTCAGTTGAGGCAGCTGCTCGGTTCCGCTTGCCCGTTTCATGGCGGGATGTGTTTTGCCCAGGTTGGATCTGTAGGGATATCTTGCAAGGGGAATGTACATGAATGTACTATACAGTATGTGTTATAGTGGCCATACATTTTGGATAAGTGCAAAATGTGAGAGGAAGCAACAATCTTCTGTTGAGAGTTGAGATGAGAAGCTACTATTTGTGGACGAATACGAGCTGCCCAACTACTGTTGAACCACAGGAGTGGTCACAACACCACATCACAAACGTCAAAAATCTATTATATTGTTTGTGTCTTTGCATCGGCCAGGCACTTCTATTCAAGACTGTCAGTCGTGAATCTTTGGAGATGTTCAGTAAAAAAAATGTAAAAACTGTGCCAGCGTGCACTCGAACACACTGCTCAGGAATGCACAGCAGGTTTCTGAATCCGTGCAAAACGCCAGATAGTTTACCATCTATGTCTATAACTGGTCTGAAACTCTGAAATGGAGATTCCAACATCCGAAATGGTCCGAATGTCTGGACAAGACATGTTTGGCATGGCATGGCATGGCTACTTCCGGTTTCCCCCAGCTACGCCCCAGCTTCGTTTTAAGCGCTGGACTCACAGGAGGTCCAAAAACCTCCAACCACTCCTGATCCTTGGAAGGGTCCTGAAATGCCGAACTGGAATGGACGTGTTTGCATACCACACATGATGCCACACATGTATCACGGGTGGGTGCTTTCAGTAGTGAAAACCGCGTTCAAATTGCAAGCCTGCATTTGGCAATTTCCAAACAAACAACAATAATTTCAACAAATCCACTCTGATTGATGAAGGCAATCTCCCTGTGAGTTGCAATAGTTCAGTATCCCATCAAACAAACCTGGTGGGTAGCACATAAAGATCGGACTCTTCACCGTTGTGGAAAGGATTGTCCTCTCCACGAGCTGCGTAGTTCGCCAACCGCTCTTCTTGACCTTGAGCCATGCAAACCATACATGGATTCCGCATATGTCAGTGTTGTCATACTGTCCATTTCGGATATGCCCCTATCATCCCCTATCACTTTCCAAGATTTCGTATTGACTAGCTGGCCACTGGAGTTCATATTGTAGACATGAAATATGATATGATACAACAGCACACATACATCGGTGAAATGTCTGTAGGATCATCAAACAGGAAATATGGAAATATATGGACATGCTGTGAGTCAAGACCTTGAATTCCCGTGGTGTCGTGGCAAACAGACCATTTACATCCACTTACAGACCACTTACTGCAAACCTTCACATAGCCACCTTGGGATACCTTGGGCATCATTGATCCCTTGGAGGAAGGGGGATCCTGGGGATCGACTTGGAGGCCCGGCTCAGCATGTTCCCTCGCAAGCCTTTGAAACGGTTCATCCTCCACCTGCGTTGTGCAGCCGAACCCTTAGGTGACTACGAAATGGAGAGGTGAAAACATGATTGATTCATATTGATTCATGCTATCAGTAAGCAACATGTGCACCAAGCAACGAATCTCAGATCTATTCACAGAAAGTGTTTCAACAGAGATGTCCAAAGCCAGCTGCCCTCACTGCCCCACATCATTTTTCTGCGGGAAGCAAGTCATGAGCCTGCTATGACCATAGAAATACATGAAGTTTGTTGCAATCTGCATCAACATGTTGCCCCGTTTATGGATAGAGAGGCCAGCAAGTAACAAATGCATTGCCACGATTTGTTCTCACCTGCATCTCTATGGCACTCTGAGACAACTTCGAAGACACGCTTAAATTTAAACAATTCACCGGTCTGGTCACGTGGCTGCGGCACATCCAAATCATCAAATTCTGAAATATCAAGGTCAAACTAGGGAAGACACTACAATACTCAGTTACTCAAATATGCCCACAGGATCCACATGGATCCAATATGGATCCAACATAATCACCACAGGAACTGATATTTGCTTCAGCACACAAATACAGTACTAGTCTCCATGTCTCAATATGTCTCAATTCCGCGGTTGTTCAAAAACTGTTCATCTCATATGCAAACGTATCCTCACTAGGGATTTTCAATGATTTCAGTTCAGAAACGGCACCAAACACACCAACCGAATCTGGATGTGACAGAACCACAGAACCACTACATCAACATTGCATTCAAACACTGCACATGCGCTTTCACTGCTTGAAGAGTCTGCCTGACCACAATGGAATCGATTGCTGTCGAAGAGAACTCGGGAATCCGCCTTTTCTGCAAATTGAAGTGGCCGTAAAAATTGTTGTTGCAAGGCAAGGTGCCACTACGGATCACCACGGCATATGTAAGCTACAAATATTGTCCAGAGTGTTGAAAGTTTTCCTGGGCAATACACTTGCTCAAAACCCAAACAGCATTCACAAAATCAGCACCTTGATTTTGCAGAGATAGCAGGTTTGATTCATCGTGCACACACACAGAACACAAAACCAAGAAAAAGTGACGTAACCCATCCAGGCAACTTTTCTGGTACAAACCGCCTCATGAAACGCAGCACCATCACATACAGTCTTTAAAACATGTCTCTGCACCTTGAAGCTGAGTGTCAATAAAAACATGTTTCAAACAACCAGTCCTGCTGCAGAATCGCATCCTACTGTAACATTTTCCAATTCACAGCATCAACATCTTCTCGCCACTGAGATGTTGATGCTATTGCAAGTTCTCTCGTGTCACACGAGTAACCCAGGAGGATAAACAAAAATGAGCATGTCAAGCTCCAAGACATGATAATGATCTCATATATGATCTCATATGTGGGTTATGCTTCCAACTCCCAAGATTTCTCAAATCCATTGAAATCCAGTAAAATCCAAGGAATCCAATATCTTCCAATATCAGTCAATATCCAAACTGCTTTCCCAGGCAACCATCGGGGGCCTGGCCTCACGTGCAGCACCTGTCGCGCCTCTTGGGTGGTGGCCTCCACACGTTTCGCGGCAAGGCCCTGCAGTTCATCCAGTAACGGCAAGGCCTGGGAGTGACTCGGAGTGATCAGGGCCTGGGAAGTGGTGATGCTGATCTTACTGGGTCTATGATATGGTGATATATGGTGTATTTGTATGTATTTGTGTCTATGTTTTGTGATGTTTTTTTTTCCACCTGCCAGGTGCTGGTCTCTAGATTTGTACCAAAACATCTCGGACACTCCCCACACATATACACGCCCACCATCGCGAGCTCGCCTGCTCTCTCGGGCTCGCCGGACAGCAAGACTAATTATGCCAGATAAAATGTGAAAACATATATGTCAGATACCATGTCGTGAGAATAAAACACAAAACGTCAAATGGTATGAATACTGTATATATCAAACGTTACGAGTAAATAAGATGTCAGAAAGAATCTCAAAATATATGTCAGGGTATCTGTCAGAACACTTGCCACAGTGGGGCAATCACTCCTAGAAGTCATTTTTCTGTAAGAATGTGAGTACATGGTGTTCTGTATTTAGAAACAACACATCTCTCGAGCTCTATATTCTCTATGGCTACAGTACCTATATCTCTACCTTATCCACCTTCATATAGTCCAAAGAACGTTCATACAAATCTCTCTCGGGATTAATTAATTAGGATAAAACTGGACAACGCAATGATAATAAAAGGCTGCTGTTTTGCGTTGCTGATCCATAGCATCCGCCATTGTCGAAACATGACGAAACATGGTCAACCGAAGCCCTCTCAGTCACTCCGCCATCGCTTGCGAGAGCTTGGCGCTTCCAGCCTCTCTGACGTTGGTGTGTTTCGCAGCTTTGCCCAACACACGCAGATTTCTGGCAGTCTCAGATTCCTTCGAGGTGATTTGAAGTGACCCCATCAAATGGAAAAAAAATCAAGAGTTCGCGAAAAATGCCAAACCCAATGCTCTGGCGCCAATTACCTAGAGGTTTGGTCCTGTGGCATACACACATCCTCGCCATCCAAAATGTAGAATTGCCGAAAGGCCTGGGAGGAGGTGACAGAAGGACCTTGCCAGTATCTGTTTCACAGTTTAAAAAAAAACAAAACCAAAATGTGATTTGCGTAGACCTCACGAGGTACGCTCCGCAGAAGAAGAACACACTTTTAATTCCATATGTTCACTGTGCGAAACCTGGTTCATGTACGTCGCCTTGGAAAAAAATTAGTGGGCAAGAAAATACCTCGCTTCTGTCAAAATGCAAACGTTTCTTTGAAAGCCTGATCGCCCTTCATAGATTCTGTCCACACAGACAATGTGATCTACTTGGCAAGCACAGAGCACTGCCAGTAACACGCGGCTACAAAAATCGTCAAAACTGCAAGCTCTTTCCAGCTGCAGAGGCTGAGGATCCTGCGCGACCCAGAAGCTCTCCCAGAAGGCCACTGTCAGGCGGCACCAAAGCGGCAGTAGCCTATGATGAAAGCTGGGTGCTTGGGGCTGGGGGCGGGGATGGCTGCAGTAGCCGCTGTTGTGGGTCTATTTCAATCAAAATTAATGAAATTCATACTATTCATCACAAAGAAACCGTTTATAGTTCATCAGTGCCCAATCCAACATGTAATGTCACCATCAGTCTTTTGGTTCTGACCTATTTTGACCATCAATCTGAACCTATGTGCAATTACCTTTGGAATATGTCGGGACCATATTCAACCAGCATTGTATATAAACGAGTGCAACATGTTGTATCATGTTGTAACATCATATTTCGCAAGCGACCCACCCTCTAAGAAACTCACCCATCGAGACAAATGCTCTGAAAGCACATGCCGCAGACCAGACTCCTGCAGGCCATGAGCTCGCAGCTCACTTTCAACAATTTTGAACAACGCCACATGTTTGTCCTGTGAATATCAAACATGCATCATGTTGGTTTGCCGTCTGCACTGGGCAGGATCTGTTGCCGTGAGTGTATCATTAAAATCCACATCTTGGTAATGGGTGTTGTTTAAAACATGATGATGCAATGATGCTGTAAAAATACTCGAAACACACCTGGCATCTAGATGCAACAGGTGCAATCATTTCCATGATCAATAGACCTTTCGGAATATGGACACAAAGGATGCATTTTTTGCCGTTTACAGCATGGATCCGCTCCGTGGGCACTGGCTGTGCAAGGAGGTCAACCTGAATGGAGCCATATGGAGCCCAGGGATCCCAACGACAAGAGTCTGGTGTTGGAACCTATCAACGTGTGGAAATCATTGTCTTCTAATATTTGCTTTGTGAGAACAAGCTGCCACTGGCTGGATACTGGATATACTGGATACCAGTGACTATATTATATATCAAACAAATTCATTCATCATTCTTCTAGTGAGACAATCAGTTTTCAATTTTGAATGCCTTGCCAGGGCTCCCCGCGGGCAACGATTTGAGAAGCCCCGAAACAAAGCTGTCCCCTGCCTGGTATGATATTTGTTAATGGGTCGCTGGCCAAAAAAGGGGGACTAAATACTAAAAAAATATAATGACGCTGCCGGAGTATGTACAGCCATGACAATGGGAACCCGTGACTCGCAACAGGAAAACATAGAGGTTGAAGCCAAATCAATACAATAATCCACCTAAAGAGTCCATTGAAACTGACTGTAAACAGCACGGATGCCGGGGCTCCTCAATTTGGATAACAGCAGCAATGCGTTAAATGAAGGCGTGGGAGAAGGAATGTTCTTTGCGTACACAGTGTACATGAATAGGGTGAAATAGAACTACGTATGGTTATACAACCAACAAAAAAACGGCAAATGATCACTAAACATGGGCAAAAGTACGTATACTTGAACCGACTGAAACAATGACACCAAGAGCACATGAAAAACACTCAGTACAAATGGTTTGACAATAATATTATTCTCTTTTCTATGGAGGGGGGGCATTCCTTATAGGGACACTCCTAGAACATTCCTGTTCATTCATTTTAATTCCATATAATTCAATGTCATTCCAAATATTATTTCATTCCAAATAAATATGGTTCATTCAAAAGAAATCATTTTTTTTTTTTAGATTATTTTAAAGAATTATCTAAATATGTTACGGTACCATTATTTTTATTGTGGTGTTTTTTTCTACTTGTTTATTTGGAACTTTTGGTTGTTGTTTTTTTTTCAAAATAAGCTTTCGGTGTTTTTATTTCTTTTGGAACTTTCTGGATTTGTTGTCTGATTTTGATTTTTGAGATTGCTTTTTTGAGTTTGTTTTGGAAGTGATGGATTGTGTTTTTTTTTGGATTTTGAATTGTTTAAGATGTGTTTTTTAAAGGATAGCAACTTTCACGAGTAGCCCAGTCCTCTTCACGGTGTTCTTCCTATTAGGATTGTTATTGTTCTTATGTGTTGATGTAAATGATGATAATGTTGTTGATGATTTTGAGTGGCAGTAACTGTAGAGCTTCCGGATCAAAACGGTTGGTATCATGTTTCCGCCATCTTTCGACAGTCCAATCACGGACGTCTGCGGTGAGCATAGCATGCAGATTCTGAGGCACACTCATCGGGCAGAGTACCTGACTAGAAATACGGACCTGCACCTGGAATCTGGAATACTGGTATCATCGACTTTGAACACAAGATATGCTGTGGACAGTTCTCCATGATTTAAATGATTTATATTTATATAAATATTGAATAATTTGAAGAAACGTTCTTTGCCTTGTCTCCAACACATTTCCCAAGGTCCGGTGTCGTTTCCAGCAAATGCCTAGCCTCTGCAGCAGCCTGTTGCACTGCCTCCAACTCCTTTGTCGCATTGCCACGCAGCAAAGCCTCCTGGCAGGTGGGTCATTGCACACAGGGTTGAAAGATGTTAAAAGGGCTTGTGAGAACAGTCCATTGCTGATCATCTGCATGCTGATTTGATATCAATATGGCTATGAGTCAAAACCCTGGTACCCCTAGTGAACCACAAAATAGCTGGTAAATGGATGTTCATCCCATTAAAAATGTATCTATGGGTATTGATCCATAGCCATATGTGTGTGTGTGATACGATTCATGATGAATGATTCAAGAATCAATGCTATTCAGGCATGTTGAGTAGTTGTGTGATTCCTGATATGTCATGCTACTATGTAGACAATTTTGGAACATCACTTGAACAAACATTTACTACACAATTTCAACACAGCCACTGATCAATGAGCTTGATCAATTCTTTTTGAGGCACATCATCCTCGCTTTGGCAAATTCAGTTCATCAGGGCCGCACCTTTTGCTAAAGCTGCTAAAGTAGTCTACGTGTATAAGAAGGTGTGCTAGGATGTTCTGCAGTGTTCCCATTGGACGTTCCCAGCATCAGTCGGACATTCCTTGGGGTGACCAAAATCGACCTTCGGATGATCCCCACAGGCACCTCAAGGTTCAGCACTGCAGCTGATAGACCTGCATTTAGGTGGGGAATGAATCCCCCACAGCTGGAACATTGGCTTTTAAGATTGTGTATGTTTGTGTCAGACTTTAACGTGTTGCAAAATAAGCAAAAATCATGTGTTGCAAGCTGGCGATGAGTTTAGAAATAAGAATTTCTTAGATCATCTAGCCGCTCTGGCCTCCAGTGGATGTTCTAGTGTTAAAACTAGCTCTTTATCAATCACCTGATCCAATCTTTCACGAAGCCATGAGCAATTCTCTTAGGACTGTGCATGAATCATTGGAAACCCTGTATTCAATGCCTCTATTGCCAAAAAAAACACCAAAAGCGATTGAATGGGTCCGAGAAACGGCTGTAGCTGTGAGCTCGCTTCATGATGGCTTCGTCCTGCGCAGCTGGGACCTGATTGGTCAATGGGGGAGTTCAGCATCAGAGACATGGAGAGACTGAGAGGACCTACAGGCGGAGACTCTCATCTCCCTCTGGTATCTCTACTCCTGTAGAGGGGGAGGGCGGGGGGACAAAACCAACCTGTCGAATTCCACGTTTTTTTGCTTGGAGACCTTGGGATAGTGATCCAACCCCTCAAACGGAATTTCAAAGTAACATGTCTTAACAAGCCTTGGGTACTGGTTAGAAAATACTTGGAGCTAAGCGCAAATATGAGGAGCTAAGCGCAAGTATGATGACGGCAGCGCAATTTTTGGAGGGATGCCACCCCTACACATGTGCTGCTTCAGTCTGACATGTGCTTAGCTCCTCCCTCCGGAGCTAAGCGCAAGTATTTAATTTTCATCTGGCTGCCAGTCACATGGAATAACGAGGAATATATATTGATCATTGAGAAAACATGATTGCGAAAATGGAATTTTAAAATGAAATTTCAATACGACTGTCCCCCCTCAAATTACATTTTAAGAGGGTATAGGGATCCTCTGGTCCTTCTTCAACACCGCCTCCAAATCATCAAAGCCTTTTCTCATGGCCCTCAGCGGCAAGAGTTCTGCGTTGAAGGCATCTGAGCGCTTCAAACTCAGAGATTGCTGAAGAATGCTGATGACATTGTCACATCCAAAACCTTAAAGTCTTGGAATCTGAGCTTCCCAGCACAACTTCCTCAACTCGATCGGCCTGAGCCTCCCAAGCAAGGGTATGCATGAAGTGTTGCTGTCTCCCACAGGTTTCAGTGGGACAGTGGGACCAGTAGAAAACATCCTGCAAAGTCGCAGAACCTCCAGCAGGAACAAAATAATGTACTCATAACATCTCAGAACTTTTAACTCATAATACTTCTCTGGCAAGTCCTTCTCGAACTTTCATCATGTTGCTTCAAGCTTCCCATGGCCAGTGCTGTGCAATTTCCACCAATTTCCGCTAGCCTGGCCTCAAGTTTGGCCTCCTCTGCTTGTTGCATCAACTGCTCGCGCTCCAACTGTGCCAGAAACAGCGACTTCTTGTACACATAACATAAATTATAAATTGTTATAAAACGTGAGTTGAACTGGATCTGAGAAGGCCTTTGTCGGAAATCTGGTGGCAGTATCGTGATTTTTTGGGACGCTGCAGCGAAGGGATCTATGCAATCTGTGGAATCTTCATGAATCTTCTAGGTATGCCTTTCAAAATCATTAGATCCTGCCAAAGATTAGTCTGGATCAATCAGTATCCAACTTTGAACTCTAACTTCAAACTTGCAAATGCTGTCAACACAAGAAAAGGATAGAAAAGGTGGGGATCAATCAAATTAGATCATTGATTATCATTGAGTATGTGAGAAACCTCCTACATTTATGTTGGCAAAGATGCAACGAGATGCAACTCATCCACCGCGACTTCCACAGCACCTCCCATTGTTCTTGAGCTTCTTGTTCAGCTTGTGCTACTGCCTCAGGGTCAAAGTCTTGGCATGTGGCTGAATCATTCCAGGGGAGGTCATAGAGATCACTGTCTTGGAGCCAGCAACCGCCCTTTGTATCTTGGCTCACAAAATGGCAGCAAAAAAAAAGAGAGCTAAGTTCAAACAGTCTTAACCCATACATATATATATATATAATACTAATATTATATAATAGTTCGGAACACTTTTGTGATTCTTGCAAGCATTGTGTGAGGTCACTGCGGGATGTACCAAAGCAGGATCGAGTTTGGAATTCTTATAGCAACCAGTACAATACAGTCTGCAAAGCAAACGGGTTGATTCCAAAACCGCACACTGCAAACAGCATGACAAAATATGACAAAGTGCTAAACGTATTGACAAAAAAGACTTTTGGAACCAAATGTCCAGCAATATTTTTGCCAACATCTTTCAGGGATTTTCAGGGGAGGTATAGCAAGACATTGCAATTTCTCAGGGAATCTGGTGGCGATTCTGAACCCTGGGTGCAGTTGAGAGCTGCGGCTTTTCGTTGGTTTTTGGGATCTGCGAGTTGGCGACGCTCAGACCAACGGTGGAGGTCCAAAAAGTTCACCGTTGAGGGCAAACATGTTCTCTATTTGGGAAAAATGATACAGTACTAAATAATCATGATCGGAAATAACATGAAGAGACCGTAAGAACTGGTTTATCATGTTTCATCTTGTATGTTGATATGTTTTGAGCATGCTGTTAAGGGATGTTAAGGGCAACAAGGATGTCAAGCATCATGTTCATTTCTAAACTAAAATCACTTTTTGTGTGCCCAGCAGTCCACAGCTCTGGTTGAACTTCCGGTACTGATCCATTTGGCGAAAGGAACTTCTCAAACCTCCCTCCATGATCTCTGCCATTCTACTGGGACCTAATGGAGCCAGATGCACGTGCATGTAACATCATGTAACGTAGGCAAATGATTGGTATTGGTCTCTGACTCTTAATGTAGCTTGTCTCTTGCAAGCCCTGCTCAGTCACAGGGGCACGACAAGTGCTGCTTGCAAGTGTGGCTGCCGAATCAAACTAATAAATACTAATAATTACAATAATAATATATACTGCATATTCGCTCAATTCAATATCTGTCACTGGGTTGGTCATGATTCTATTCTTGGTGAATCAGAACTGGATTCAAGCCATCTCAAGTGAATTCAATCACAGCATTGCAAATACTGGAATCCATTCATGCTCACTGTGCAAATGGCGGCCAGCAACAGGCCAGTTTGGTTGGAACTGTCCAAGGATGCCATTCAAATGAGATATTGTGAAGATGGGCGGAACATTGAGGAAACAAACTTGTGACATGCACGAGTATGCTGCAAAAGAATGCGCATTCAGTAATTGTACGTTTGCAAGTCGGATGTATTACTCGCTTTGAAATTTGACCACTACGTTGAACATGATCAGATCATTCAAAAGATCTGGCCACACAAAGATCAATGAAACCTCAGCATCATCATTACCATGACAACCCAAGCCCAAACAATAATTATTGCAACCATTACCACCACTCTTATATACAGTAACATACAGTAACGTGTTTTCATCATCAGTAGCATCAGAGAAGCTGGTCAGCGTCATCACCATCTGATCTCAATGGTCACAAAATTCACAAAGACATTAACCAATGGATACCAATGGTATCATCGCCATCACATGCAGTGACAGCAACAATGATCACAATATATCATAATGGTATCCGCCGACCCCAGCCGGATGCTGGGGGAGCGCGCTGGAGAAGGCCTGCCCTGAAGAATGCTCAAGGGACAGACAGAGACAGATAGAGACAGACAGAGACAGACAGAGACAGAGAGACAGACAGACAGACAGAGACAGACAGATAGAGACAGAGAGAGAGAGAGAGACAGAGAGAGAGAGAGAGAGACAGAGAGACTCTCTCTGTAGGCAGACAGATAGACAGACAGACAGATAGACAGACAGACAGATACAGACAGATACAGACAGACAGACAGACAGACAGAGAGACAGACAGACAGACAGACAGACAGACAGACAGGACAGACAGACAGACAGGACAGGACAGACAGACAGACAGACAGAATGCTGTTTCGCTGTTTCGCATGCGCCCGGCAAAGGTGGCAGTCGGCAGCTTCCAGAGCTACTTTTCTAAGGGCTTCAGAAAGCAACGGATGCGCCGTTTGTGAGCCGCGGCGGCTGGATGACAGCTAGATTTTCTTGTAGGGTCAGAAAGTGACGTTAGGCACTGGGGGCCGTTGCCCGGAGGCCCGGTCCGTCCCTCAGGGCCCTGCTGTTTCGCTGTTTCGCATGCGCCCGGCAAAGGTGGCAGCCGGCAGCTTCCAGAGCTAGTTTTCTAAGGGCTTCAGAAAGCAACGTTAGGCAGTGGCGCCTGGCCTTGGGGCACGCGGTTGGGACCAGCAGGCCCTGCTGTTTCGCTGTTTCGCATGCGCCCGGCAAAGGTGGCAGTCGGCAGCTTCCAGAGCTACTTTTCTAAGGGCTTCAGAAAGCAACGGATGCGCCGTTTGTGAGCTGCGGCGGCTGGAAGACAGCTAGATTTTCTTGCAGGGTCAGAAAGTGACGTTAGGCACTGGGGGCCGTTGCCCGGAGGCCCGGTCCGTCCCTCAGGGCCCTGCTGTTTCGCTGTTTCGCATGCGCCCGGCAAAGGTGGCAGTCGGCAGCTTCCAGAGCTACTTTCCTAAGGGCTTCAGAAAGCAACGGATGCGCCGTTTGTGAGCCGCGGCGGCTGGAAGACAGCTAGATTTTCTTGTAGGGTCAGAAAGTGACGTTAGGCAGTGGAGACCGTTGCCCGGAGGCCCGGTCCGTCCCTCAGGGCCCTGCTGTTTCGCTGTTTCGCAGCCGGCAGCTCTCAGAGCTATACTTTTCTAAGGGCTTCAGAAAGCAACGTTAGGCACTGGCGCCTGGCCTTGGGACACGTGGTTGGGACCAGCAGGCCCTGCTGTTGCGCTGTTTCGCATGCGCCCGGCAAAGGTGGCAGCCGGCAGCTTCTAGAGCTACTTTTCAAAGGGTTTCCGAACGCGTCGTTAGCCAGAGCTAGTTTTCTAAGGGCTTCAGAAAGCAACGTTAGGCAGTGGCGCCTGGCCTTGGGACACGCGGTTGGGACCAGCAGGCCCTGCTGTTTCGCTGTTTCGCATGCGCCCGGCAAAGGTGGCAGTCGGCAGCTTCCAGAGCTACTTTTCTAAGGGCTTCAGAAAGCAACGGATGCGCCGTTTGTGAGCTGCGGCGGCTGGAAGACAGCTAGATTTTCTTGTAAGGTCAGAAAGTGACGTTAGGCAGTGGGGGCCGTTGCCCGGAGGCCCGGTCCGTCCCTCAGGGCCCTGCTGTTTCGCTGTTTCGCATGCGCCCGGCAAAGGTGGCAGCCGGCAGCTTCCAGAGCTACTTTTCTAAGGGCTTCAGAAAGCAACGTTAGGCAGTGGCGCCTGGCCTTGGGACACGCGGTTGGACCAGCAGGCCCTGCTGTTTCGCTGTTTCGCATGCGCCCGGCAAAGGTGGCAGCCGGCAGCTTCCAGAGCTACTTTTCTAAGGGCTTCAGAAAGCAACGTTAGGCAGTGGAGCCTGGCCTTGGGACACGCGGTTGGGACCAGCAGGCCCTGCTATTTCGCTGTTTCGCATGCGCCCGGCAAAGGTGGCAGCCGGCAGCTTCCAAAGCGGGAACAGCAGGCCCTGCTGTTTCGCTGTTTCGCATGCGCCCGGCAAAGGTGGCAGCCGGCAGCTTCCAGAGCTACTTTTCTAAGGGCTTCGGAAAGCAACGTTAGGCAGTGGCGCCTGGCCTTGGGACACGCGGTTGGGACCAGCAGGCCCTGCTGTTTCGCTGTTTCGCATGCGCCCGGCAAAGGTGGCAGTCGGCAGCTTCCAGAGCTACTTTTCTAAGGGCTTCAGAAAGCAACGGATGCGCCGTTTGTGAGCTGCGGCGGCTGGAAGACAGTTAGATTTTCTTGTAGGGTCAGAAAGTGACGTTAGGCAGTGGGGGCCGTTGCCCGGAGGCCCGGTCCGTCCCTCAGGGCCCTGCTGTTTCCCTGTTTCGCATGCGCCCGGCAAAGGTGGCAGTCGGCAGCTTCCAGAGCTACTTTTCTAAGGGCTTCAGAAAGCAACGGATGCGCCGTTTGTGAGCCGCGGCGGCTGGAAGACAGCTAGATTTTCTTGTAGGGTCAGAAAGTGACGTTAGGCAGTGCAGGCCGTTGCCCGGAGGCCCGGTCCGTCCCTCAGGGCCCTGCTGTTTCGCTGTTTCGCATGCGTCCGGCAAAGGTGGTGTCGGCAGCTTCCAGAGCTACTTTTCTAAGGGCTTCAGAAAGCAACGGATGCGCCGTTTGTGAGCTGCGGCGGCTGGAAGACAGCTAGATTTTCTTGTAGGGTCAGAAAGTGACGTTAGGCAGTGGGGGCCGTTGCCCGGAGGCCCGGTCCGTCCCTCAGGGCCCTGCTGTTTCGCTGTTTCGCATGCGCCCGGCAAAAGTGGCAGCCGGCAGCTTCCAGAGCTAGTTTTCTCAGGGCTTCAGAAAGCAACGTTAGGCAGTGGCGCCTGGCCTTGGGACACGCGGTTGGGACCAGCAAGCCCTGCTGTTTCGCTGTTTCGCATGCGCCCGGCAAAGGTGGCAGTCGGCAGCTTCCAGAGCTACTTTGCTAAGGGCTTCAGAAAGCAACGGATGCGCCGTTTGTGAGCTGCGGCGGCTGGAAGACAGCTAGATTTTCTTGTAGGGTCAGAAAGTGACGTTAGGCAGTGGAGGCCGTTGCCCGGAGGCCCGGTCCGTCCCTCAGGGCCCTGCTGTTTCGCTGTTTCGCATGCGCCCGGCAAAGGTGGCAGCCGGCAGCTTCCAGAGCTACTTTTCTAAGGGCTTCAGAAAGCAACGGATGCGCCGTTTGTGAGCTGCGGCGGCTGGAAGACAGCTAGATTTTCTTGTAGGGTCAGAAAGTGACGTTAGGCAGTGGGGGCCGTTGCCCGGAGGCCCGGTCCGTCCCTCAGGGCCCTGCTGTTTCGCTGTTTCGCATGCGCCCGGCAAAGGTGGCAGTCGGCAGCTTCCAGAGCTACTTTTCTAAGGGCTTCAGAAAGCAACGGATGCGCCGTTTGTGAGCCGCGGCGGCTGGAAGACAGCTAGATTTTCTTGTAGGGTCAGAAAGTGACGTTAGGCAGTGGAGGCCGTTGCCCGGAGGCCCGGTCCGTCCCTCAGGGCCCTGCTGTTTCGCTGTTTCGCATGCGTCCGGCAAAGGTGGCAGTCGGCAGCTTCCAGAGCTACTTTTCTAAGGGCTTCAGAAAGCAACGGATGCGCCGTTTGTGAGCTGCGGCGGCTGGAAGACAGCTAGATTTTCTTGTAGGGTTGCCCGGAGGCCCGGTCCGTCCCTCAGGGCCCTGCTGTTTCGCTGTTTCGCATGCGCCCGGCAAAGGTGGCAGCCGGCAGCTTCCAGAGCTAGTTTTCTAAGGGCTTCAGAAAGCAACGTTAGGCAGTGGCGCCTGGCCTTGGGACACGCGGTTGGGACCAGCAGGCCCTGCTGTTTCGCTGTTTCGCATGCGCCCGGCAAAGGTGGCAGTCGGCAGCTTCCAGAGCTACTTTGCTAAGGGCTTCAGAAAGCAACGGATGCACCGTTTGTGAGCTGCGGCGGCTGGAAGACAGCTAGATTTTCTTGTAGGGTCAGAAAGTGACGTTAGGCAGTGGGGGCCGTTGCCCGGAGGCCCGGTCCGTCCCTCAGGGCCCTGCTGTTTCGCTGTTTCGCATGCGCCCGGCAAAGGTGGCAGCCGGCAGCTTCCAGAGCTAGTTTTCTAAGGGCTTCAAAAAGGAACGTTAGGCAGTGGCGCCTGGCCTTGGGACACGCGGTTGGGACCAGCAGGCCCTGCTGTTTCGCTGTTTCGCATGCGCCCGGCAAAGGTGGC